TTAACAATTTGGCATTGTGTGTGTGTGTGTGTGTGTCTGCAAGCATGATACGAGGCTGATATGAAACATTTTCATGAAACATGTTTTTGGTTCAGAAACGTCGACATGCAACGAATCCCATGGTTTAGACATACAATGGTTTTGACGTACAGTACGTACAATGCAAAAAACATTGTTTTTGTGGCGACTGGGTTGAAACCTGACAAAAGAAAGTTAAAAAAGCATCAATACTAAATTGTAGAGGTTTTAACATTTGACTGTTTAATGACAGACATCCTCCACACATAAAGACATAAACAAAAAACATAAATAACGTGTGTGTGTGTGTGATTGGCAGTTTGATAATGTAATAAGTGAATGAATGAGAAAGCTACTTTTAACTGTGATGTTTGGCCCCGAGTGAACATGTCTTCCTGAAACAATTTCCAGTTCAGCGAATTCATTCCGATAATCAATCAATCAACGAAGAATTCACAGCAAAGAAGAATTATCTAAATGTATTTTTTTTATATTTCTCCTCAAACTGCATCAGTCTGCGTTCCTAACTCTTGCACCCTCACTTGGCTACACACACTGACCTCATTGGTGACCACCAACACAAGAGGGACTGCTCAGTCTGCTGAGTCTGACGCATCTTCTGTGCACATTTACAGCAGTGTAACTGTTCAATAATATTGATCAGAAGACATAATGGAAATCAAACAAAGTCCCATTGATAATGCATTACTGCAGAAATTGCTTCTTTTTTTAAAAATCACTTAGTGTGAGTTACTATTGATCTCAGCTCCTGATCAATAGTCATTTCAGAGGCTGATGGGGAGGGAGCACACATGACCTCTGCTTTGGCCAATAGCCACCCTGGGAGGGCAGCATGCAGCAACGTGCTGTACGGTAGTTTGAGAGTTGAAGCTACTAGAGATGAATGGAGAGCAGCTACAGAACCATGCATACATGTCGACTGAGCCCTGTATTCAAGGGATCTTTACGTGCTCCGTACGAGCATTTACACATAAGCCAAGAACCGCAGTGCTGGCATTATATTTTCTTAATGCTGTTTCATTATCTCAAGAAAACAAAAGGGCGTTTCTTCTTGTTACTTATCATGTTCATCAGAGATCAGGAGTGCAATGCCAGCATCCATAGATGACTGCTGTCCAGCCGTCACTCTAATGTCTGACGCTTAAGTTGTAGTGCACCCATATACTGGCATTTAATATAGTATATTTACATAATAAATGCATTCAATCAGCACAGATTGAGCTCAACATAGACTGTAAAGAAGTGTGTGCATAAAAAACTGTATTTAAAACTCTACATACGATGTATGGAGCTGACAGCTAGCGACGAACTTGAGAGAGTTAGCTGAAGGATGCTCGTAAGATCCAGTTACTGTACTTGTTTATTTTCTGCCATGACATTAAAACTGTCTTAGATAACAGCGAGCTACGCTTTCTGTACTCCAACACGACAAACTCTGCTCGGCCGGCACTCACGCTTCCACCGTTGTCTTCTGGCAACATGTCAACCTTAGGAGATTTCAGAATGACACTTCTCCTTGAGTGCAACTCTTTCCATAATGCCAGACACTTAATAACTATCAAAGCCTGTCGGTGGCAAAAACAAGCACTTTTAGTGGACGTAAATGACAGTGCCAGCTTTCCCTAATAGATTACATTACTGCCGTCTGCCGTCTACAGCGCTCTCGCTCAATACTGGACCAATTTCAGAAATAGTTGCCTTTATTAGTCAGTTAGACACAAAAATATGAAAATAGGGTCCAGATTGATAATTGGCACTTCACCTCCTTACAACTGAAGTGAAGAATGAAATACATTTATGACTGCGATCTGATGTGCAGCAATTTCCTCTAGTGTCCAAACCACACGCCAGAGTTCACCGTAGCCCTCCTCTGCTGCAGTCCTGCTGTTTCATGAGAATAAGACTTTAGTATTAAACTGAAAACATGGTACACGATAGCTTTTGTTGCATCATTTAATACTGGCAGGGATTTCAGTGAACTCATCTTCATGTATGTGCAGTTGCACACATAATACCGAGCAGAAAAAAAATGCTTGAATCAACTTAACTTTATCTCCGCCTGAGCCCCAGTATTTGGGGAAAATACCTTGGTGGGGAAACTGAGGAGGCCTAATTACCTGAGCTTGGCACGCTGTTCAACCTTGTTGTTGCCGATATTCCTTCAAATGAAGTGAACGGGTGAGATAAAACGAGAGCGGGGATTAAAATTCTCTACAATTAATTCCAGGAAACATGTCAAGTCCTTGTTCTACAGCTGAATAGTGAAGGGCCTCAAGTTGGCTCGATTTTACACAGAAATCATGCAAACCAAAGAACATCAGTGAATGCTGAATGGGAGGCTAAATGAGATACAGCTCGAAGGGTGTAGGGTGTGACATTTTGGCACACCAGCTTTGCATAAATTTGCAGAACACATCATCCATCAGGGTAAAGTCAAATTCTGTAATATGTTTGGTGTCGCTGAAAAGATCAGCAGGTTAAACCTCCCTGCTAGCAAGACTCAGATCAGAGAAAATGTTATGAGCTGGGAACAAAAAGGGCTCAAATGGCATCATGGACTAAAACCAGCTCAACATCATATTATGTCCGCTGGGGTTCAAGCTCACTGCAGAGCGACAGTATCCCAAATGTATCCCTCGCCATGTACAAGTTGACCATTTGTTTTCAGTTATTGTAATGCAGCAGAACTGTGATGTCTTCTAACTGTAAGTGAAACAAGATGATGCATAATATATATTTACAATATGTGACACATGGTATAAGTGAATCTGTCTCTGCTCTCAAATCTGGAGCTGGATTGAAGAGTGCAGGAGGACGTTTGAGGGCGCTGAGGCCATAGAATCAGAATAGGAGTAGAACGGATATTAAACTGTTGAGTACTAAAGAACATGGATTGTTGTCAGTTGTTACGGTGACAACACACATCAGCGTGACACACCACACTGCCATGTTGTTGTCAGATGAGACAGGTGGCTTAACATAAACCATGAACTGTACGCTACCTAATAGAGTAGAGTTTAAATGAATGAAAACAACTTTTACAACCGCGGTTAGTAACGTCATATAGCTCTGGGTATCCATTCAAAATAACCATAGTGAGAAAAAAATGCAGTTGGGGCCTTGTCAACTCAAGGCGCTCAGCACAATCCTGCAAAACAATGTGAGCCCCATAGAACGTGAGGCACTCAGAAACGCAAAAGCCGCGCGCACAACGCTGAAAACCATTACAATAAGCCACCCTCTGTCCCTCTGAATAAATGCATGTGACCTCGTCAGTGATTCAGACATTCAGAATAAACAAAATGCTGCACATGTCAGTGGAGACTCATTATTTCCATATTACGCTGGGTGACTGGAAAAACTCAATTCTACTCAATAAATACTCACATTTAAAACCCAAAATCTAGTTGATCAGAGAGGAAGTGACATACAGTATCAGTCACATTGCTTACACATTGAATGGAGGCTCCACAATCAAAGCAACCATCACAACAACTTACTAATCTGTTCAAAGTCCACTGGGAATGGTCCGTTGTTGTGTTCCCCTAAATCATAATCAGGGTTTAGTTCCAGAGTTTGTGAAGGAAAATATGAGTTTCAGTTAAGTGTACCATAAAACGCTGAATCCTATATTTCCTATAATGCCTCCTGTGTCAGCCCAAATCTTTCAACCTCTTCAACAGGAGTCAGCAGTCAACATGGTAGACTGCTAGGAAGTAGCATACAGTCATAGATGAGCACTAAAAATATGAGGGTGATGGGTCCAGTAGCGTGCGAGATTAGCTATGGACAGACAGACAGAAAGATGCACACATGCACAAACACAGACACAGGCTCAAGCCTGGCAGGGATGATATAGTAGCCTTCAAAAGATTTTAATTTGACACGGCTGTAAAGTAGAACTGTGTCACAATTATTTTTCTTCCGTGTTGCAGTGATGAAATCCAAGTGAAAGTATAAGCACAGGTCACATCAGAAGGGTAGCAACCTCCCAGGTAGAAGGAGGGGGGGGCTCTCTTTTATTTTACCCCTGCCCCTCACACAATCTGTGCACACCACTGATATGCCCTCATGTCTACAAGAATATCGTAAAGTAACGAGTCAAATATGATACATAACATGTTGCTATAGGGAATTCCAGTGTGAGCTCTTTTACTACCATCATGGAGGGAACCCCAGAGGATTGGGTAGATTGTTCACATCGCATCCATCGTGTCACGTTACACAAGACAGTGCCGGCAAACAAAGGGACATCCAGCTACTACGTATTTACCCGATTCCCATTACATTCCCGCTATATTCTACACTACTGTTTTAGATGAAAGCCGAGCCCTCTCCCCGTTGCAGAGACGAGGGGGGCGGGCTGTAGGATGGAGCAGCCAGCCAGCGTCAGGGCTGAATAATTGATCTGTCTTTATCGGTCAGGAGGACGCTAGTGGGACGTTTCTCTCTCTCTCTCTCTCTCTCTCTCTCTCTCTCTCTCTCTCTCTCTCTCTCTCTCTCTCTCTCTCTCTCTCTCTCTCCCTCTCTCTCTCTCCATGTGATTCAGGGTCCTTCCCATCACGGTGTGAACGGCAACTGCTTCACCCTCACCAAACCACCACCACCCCCTCCTCGTCTACTCCTCCTCTTTCTCTGTGTGTGAGTGCAAGTGAGTGAGTGTGTGTGTGTGTGTGCAGGAAGACGAAAGCGGCAGGCAGGAGGAGGCACCAAGGACGTCCCTTTTTTTTCTTCTCCCAGCCCCGGGAGCCGGAGATGCGAGGGACGAGCAGTTAGATTAGCCTGTGCTGCTGTTGCTGTATGCTGCGGGATAACTTCGCTGCAGCTGAAGCTCTCTGCTCTCCCCGTTCGGTGTGTGTGTGAGTGTGTGAGGAGGATTTCAGCCAGTCGCCGGGGACGGAGGTAAATCGATGCCTGACGCGGCCGCTTCAGCGCGATTCAACGGGTTCGGGGAGCTATCCACTCGCGGTGGTGCTGAAAACCAGGCTCCGCTCAAAACGAGGAAGCGCATGTGTATATCTCGTGTCAGGTCGAACATATTTGAATGCACGTTCACCGCATGCATGTAGATGCAAACAAGCATGCATCAGTCTGCAATCGCAGCTTAATTAACACACCGTGCGAGCAGCGTGTTTGATGCCGGAGTGGGATGGCTGTATCCAATCTCCCTCCAATGGAGAATGCAAAGTTTTACCACATGATCAGGAACAAAAAAAAAACCCACAGCGGTGGTTTAGTCCGGCGTCCACATGCATGACAACAGACTGTCCTGGTCAAGCTGCGTACTCGCACCGTGCACTTTGTCAAAACTCGCTTGTCTGCTGTCGTGACACGTTCTCTCTTCAGCACCCGAGACTAAACACTCAGCTGTCCGGGATTCTTGGGGGGAACAAGCGCCACATTTAGGAGGAAACGCTGAGCTGTAGCTGCTGATTTGGGTTGCAGATTTACGCGTTTTTTTCCAGTGTTTTCCGTTGTGTTCAGGTTGAGTTTGAACCATTGACCTTGGTGTCCTTCACTTGGCGCATTGAAGAAAGGTGCCGAACACTCAAATACAGATCATTTAAGTCTATATGCGACTGTTTGGATCCGTGCAATCTGTAATTGCAGCTAAATGTGGAGTTATTTCAGAAATGCTTTCTACAATATTCTGTACATATTTAATGTGGAGCGAGTCTGTAGTAGTGTAAAGTGAGTTTATAGTGACCTCCTTATCCTACGCACGGCCAATTTCCATACTACCTGTTGAATTGTTCATTGATGCCTTATAGGATTATAAAGTTTAGGATTATTGAATTCTTAAAATCTTTTTTGTTTGTTTTGGGTTTTTTTCGCAGATCTGGACAAAGGACTTCTTCTTCTGTCACAATTGAATGTAACATTGCTCGGACAAGGAAGGCAGGGAATTACAAGCCATCATCATGAATTTCGTTATGAAACAAGCGTTGGGAGGTAAGATCAACCTTTGTTTTGTCACTGTTGTGCCCCAGAGTGTGAATGCATATTGAACGTGTGTGCGTGTGTGTGTGTGTGTGTGTGTGTGTGTGTGTGTAAGTGCGATGGTGTTTCCTGGAGGTTTAATTTTCCCTGAAAACCTCTATCATACCTTTGTTGATGTGCAGTGCCTTCCCAATTTTGCGTCATCGATGCATGAATTCACACATTATTAATTTCAGCCTCAGACAGCTGTAGTAGAGGAAGTCAGTTGATGTTTTATTTCTTGTTTCCCGTCCTTGCTTGTGTTCTTCCTCCACATCTGCTGCTTGCTTGCTGCACACATGGCGTACGGTATAGTTGGCCCCTGAGGCACACTGAGTACAGCTTACCGTAACAGGCTGGTGATGTGTAATGTCGCCTGAGTCGCTGTGGTCAAAAGGGCATTTCATGTTCCAGTGAGTGCAACCTGCTTTACCAAGAGGTGTTAAAGGTCTTTTTGCGGTGGCTCGGTGATGGTCTTACCATTAACCAGCCCCGTAGTGGAGCCTCTTGGCTGGACGCTGCAGCGACTCTTATCTCGACATGCTGTGTACACATTTTACACCTGAAGGGGGAAAAAGATAATCAAGGCAGAATCTAATCCTCATGCAGGCATGTGAATGATTTTCTAATTGCTTGTGCTTCAACGACTCCCCTGACGTGGGATTAACATAACAGAGTAATGAATTTTGAGTGAGTATGGACTTGTTATTATGTGTGAATATGCAAATGGTGCAGTGGAAGGTGAAAGGGCCTCAGTAGTTTTCACCCAGCAGAGACGCTGCTTGGTGATTTGGTGGGAGTGGAAATCCATCCCTGGTCTGCTGTTGTTGGTGTGCTCTGCAGATGCTCTGACGCATCTGCACTAAAAATCCTTTGTGGTCCTCAAACATCTGGTGTGATTAAACAGAGCAATAAAGCCTCTGAAACCTTGTTTTTTATTTTAAGTGTTTCATTATAACAATAAATATTAAAGTTAAAAGTTAAAGAAAACATCCATTTTAAAACACTTTAAGATCACATCCTCGGTCACAGGCTGCAGCTATTTAACAATATATGCAAAAAACAACACTTTCTTTTCATATCAAAATCCAATCATTGCTCCTTCCTGTAAATAATATGACATTTGTTTACATATGCTAGTAACAACCAATTTCTTCCAATCATATCAGGCCACTGTCCTCTGTTGTTACACTCTAAGCCCGCCCACTTCTTTAGCGGCCTTTCACTGAACACCGCTCAAACTTCCAGTTCACTGAGTCTTAAAGGGCTTCACAGTCCGGTACACCGTTTGATCAGATTTGATTGGCCCAGCGGCACAAACAAACAACCCCACAACTGTCATTTCACAGAATCCTGATTGGTGCATGGACGAATGTGATGTCATTCGTTTCCAAGTGAGCTGTGAGCCTTCTTTTAAACACATAATTTGGAGTTTTTGGATGAAGCTGAATGATTTTGATCATGTTGGTTAGCTCCTGCAGTGTGCTACTTCCTGTTTACATTTTCACAGGACAAGATATAGGTCTGATTAGAACTCTTCAGTTCGTCCACTGAGTGCTTTCTGATTGGCTCAAAGGTTATAAAGGTTCTACCTGGTACCCTTTTAGATGGCTCTATACCTAGAACTTAACATAAAGGGGTAAAACTAGAAGTATCTGTGAAAGGTTCCACCCAGAACCCCCTATAAGAGGTTCGGACCGTTCCCTGGTGTAATGTTTCTACCCAGAACTCTCTCTGGTGTATCTAGAACCTTTCTCCCTTCTAAGAGTGGAAAAACTCACCCAGAGGGTTCTACTAAGAACCCTTTTATACTCCAAGGGTTTCATCTAGAACCAACCCACAGAGGTATACCAAGAACCATTTCATGTTCAAAGGGTTTCATCTAGAACCCACCCAGGTGTATCTACCAAGAACCCTTTGATATTGCAAGGGTGTCATCTAGTTCTGCTGGTTCTGGGCAGTCATTTTATGCAGACTTGATATTCATTGAAATGGATTACACAACGCGTTTGCCAATAGATTTCTATGTATACAGAAGTCAGTGGAAACCAGTATATACCAGACAGGTTGGGGAAAATACAATCAGAAATATTATTAAAAAAAGGTCAGCAAAAGTGTCTACATGATATGTCGACTGGTTTGATATGTTGCTTTAAGGCTGCCGGTCTCTGTGGCTGTGTTGTGTTTGTTTGTGTCATGTACAGCAGCTGTGTATTCATCTTGTATTAGCCGTGTGTGTGCGTGTGTGTGAGTGTGTGTTACACTGCTGGGGGGGTGTTAGTGCAGGTGCCCACCAACAGGCTCTTCAATAAAGACGAGTCAAATCCGCTGAATTGTGCATAAAAGAAATTTCACACATGAGGAAAAGCAGGCAGTTTGTGCCGAGGCCTTCACCTTAAGCAGAGTATTTCTTTCCGTCTTGGGGAAGATTTTTGGTTTTCTTCTTGAGGAGTAATGAGTTTTTAGTGTGCAGTGGATTAGCTGTGGGTTATTATCTCACTTCTCTCTCTCTCTGTGTGCTCTAAGGCGATACTCACACTCCATCTGCTCCCATCTAGTCCCTGATTAGTATTCTGTCTGTTTTATACAGGTCGTCTCTAAAGGCACCGAGGACTTGTCATCATCGATCGGAAATCATAGATCAGACGGGCTTAAAGTTTTTCATGTTAATGACCTCCAGAAGATGAATGCCTCACCAGTCTGTACCGGGATGTTCAAAAAGTTACTTTAAGATCACATCCTCGGTCATATTGTGCAGACTTTTACCGTACACCATGAACAGTTTAAAGTTTAAAGCATGCATAAACACCTGTCTGGTCCTTTAATATGTAGTGAAAAAGATCAAACCCCCTACAACCTGTTTAAGGACCGCTGGAGTCCCTGAACCACAGTTTTATAGAACTGGCAGTAAGGAGAAAAGTAAGGACAAATGAGGATTGATTCAGTCTACAGGGCAGTTACAGCAATGTGTGTGTGTGTGTGTGTGTGTGTGTGTGTGACCTATTGCAAGAACGGGAAACCATGCAAGAGGGAGAGGGGAGGATTTATTGCAGATGATATCATCCAAAAAATGCTCGTAAATGGAAGTCAGCTCTCTCACCTCTTTCTCTCGAAGCTTGCGACTCCAGCTCCTCCCTCCCCCACCTTCTTCTTCCTCCTCCTCCTCTGGCATCTCTGCTCTCAGCCCCGGCAGAAGAGGAGGAGGAGAAAGAGGTGTAGGAGGAGATGAAAAGTGACAAATTGATCTTTAAGACTGGGTGTTATATCATCAGCGGCTGATGGCAGAGGGTGTAAAGTCGCGCTGCACTCTGAACCGGCAGAAGCTGTAATCTCCATTTAATGGGAGATGTTTTCTCTCCTCTGCGGCCTCGGAGTTTCTCCCTTTCTCATCTTTCCTCCCCTACTTCTGTCATTCATTATTTCATCATTCTATTTTCAATTCTTATCTCCCTCTGACCTCCATCATCTTCAGTCACGTTTCTCCATTCCCACCTCTCTTCCTCATTTCCCCCCTCCCTGCACAGCTCCCTAGCCCTCTCTACTTTTACTCTATCACTCTCTCTGTCCCCTCTTTGCTTTTCCGTCTGTCAATTTAGCTTCCCTCCCCGTTCTTTCCTCTCTCCCTCCATCTGCGATTACAGTAGATCTAAAGGGCGAGGCCAGGAAACCTCAATCAGGCAGCCACAGGGGAAACTGGGACATGTGTGTGTGTGTGTGTGTGTGTGTGTGTGTGTGTGTGTGATTCAGTGTTTGCTTGTGCGTGGCAAGAGAGAGAGGCAAAATGTGCGACAAAGACAGAGAGACTGGGCGGACCTCAGTAGTCGTCTTTAGCTTTCATTAGATGATAATGTAAGTGCGTGTGTGTGTGTACCTGTACAGCTATCTTTGTGGGGACCAATGTGAGTTATAGACCTTCAGAGTGAGGACATTTTTGGAAAGTGAGGGCATTTTGGTTGGTCCCTACTTCGGTACAGACATTAAAAAACCCTTTTTGATGGTGCAGAACAAGAAGCTTCTCTGGTGCTGATAAATGAAGCCAATGTTTAAGTGCCAAAAACTGCAGTTCCTCAAATGTGCCACTTGAGGCTGGCTCCAAAAGAGAGTCAATCCCTCCATTTGAAAATGCCAAGCTTTATACCAGAAAGGACAGTTTTTACAGTCTGGTGCAAGAAAAGATATGATCGTGGGCGTGGCTGCTTTGAGTGACAGGTGGGTGCCATTTTAGATTGCTAGCTGTCTGCCCTGATGCGTCACCCGTGCCACCTCAGCTCCACCGACGATACACCTCTTTGCCCATTATTGGATTAGGCAGGAGTAGGGTTGTGTCGTCACTGCCAAGATGGCGATGATCTGAGCCACTTCACAATGGCTCTTCATAAACCTAGGAGTGACAGTCTATGGTTCAGGTTGGTTTAGGTTTGGGCTAGGGTAATGGTTGGGGTCAGGCATTGAGTTGTGATGGTTAAGGTTAGGGTAAAGGGTCAGGGAATGCATTATGTCAGTGAGTGTCCTCACAAAGATAGAAGTAAGGTTACTGGAGAGAGACATGATCACGACTAAAACGCACAGAAAAACACAAAAGTGGAGTGCGACACACAAACACGTGAGCACTGACATGGACCACCAGGACACAAAAACATCCAATTCAAACCCACTGACATACTGATAAACAAAGCCTAGCACACACATGGACACACACAGGGTTGCTGCTCGGGTAAAAAAAAACCACAGCAGGGAAACAGTGAGGAAACGTTGGGAGAACGGTAGCAGTTCAGACAGTGCAGACTGCTGTTGAGCCACATGTAAACATTCTCTAAGAAGACAAACAGAAAATAACACTGGATAATAACTGTAGGTGTCCTGCACTGCAGAGCATTTGTTCAGGATGCAAACAATTATATACACACTGAGTATATATACTTTGTTTATTAAGGAAGTCACATTGAGAGTGAGATCTGAGAATGGTGAAAAGA